ATATATATATATATATATATATATATATATATATATATATATATATATATATACGTATATGGCTGTGGAATATCTTGTAACTTGAACAGGACTGACTCCTTTGTCATGGCGACAAAGAAAGTGACAAAAAATTAAGTGCATTGCTAAAACAAAATAACTTGTGGAAAGTGTCACAATGAGGGGAATTTTTTTTGTTTACAGGTGATTTTTTTTATTACGTTGGTTTTTATTACTAATTTAATTTAAATATGTAAAATAAATCATGTTCAAATGTTGCTTCATTTGTTTTTGACCACACACACAAAGATTGAATAGGAAATAAAAAAAAGAAAAACACTGTTTTTTCATGCCAACATCTAATTTAAAGAACATGTATGGACATGTACTTATTTGTACCAGGCTTATCACTTATAAGACAATTATTAAGAATAGGTGGTTTTGGAAACCTTTTAAGTGGAAACTGAAAAAGTGTTTAACAGGGATGGTGGTTCTGCTTTTCATTTTACAGTACTGTTTCCTTTGTGGGAGAAGTTCAAAAAGTTCATGGAGCAGTTGTAAAGAGTCTGTCAATGTTCCTACAGCAATTTAGAAAAAACAGAACATGGACAGTCTAATGACCTTCCCAGCTTCCCTCACTATCCTCAACAGGACCTCCTCCTTCTGCCATATTGCAGCTACTACCATGTTGAAATGCAAAATTTAAACATGCCTTCCACCACAGCAAGGTGAGTCGGTTTTGGTTGTGCTGGAAAGAGAGATGTTTGTTTCAGTTTCGCTGTGCACATTACATGATACCAGTGAACTTCTTCCTGCAGGTGAGATAACTGAAGAACCTAATGCTATCCATCCTCTGTGAATTATATGGGATTGTGTGCCCAGAAGTTCATAATCATCTAGTTTTCTTTTATGAAGCAGATTATGTTTTTATGCAGATTATTTTTCATTAAAGCTACAGTGTGTAGTAATTACAGGGATATACAGTCAGAAATGTAATATATTATACATAACTATGTTATTTATCATCATCTACGAGCTCAGCCTCTTAACCTTAATATTTGCGTTGCCTTAGAATTCGTTATTTGTAATTACATAGGAGCGGGTCTCGCAGCCATGGAGGCAGACATCTTTGCGCTACGGCAGCGCAGAGCCAACAAACTAGCGATTGCGAGATCGCCCATTACGCTCGAAAGTAACTACGGCAAGTTGAGAGAGATGAACTGAGACAGTACTGAACAATAGATGGCAGTATTAAAATTATCTATGTAAACAAACCTCATCACTTGAGAAGGTAGGTGATGCGGACGCCGTGGAAGACATTTTGTCCTGTAACGCTCGCCGTACTGTTGGGGGGGAGAAGCGGTGGGGAGGAGATGTTCATGTTGCTGCGGTCTGCAGTCTGGACGTTAGATGTCGCTAAAAATTACACACTGTAGCTTTAAGCCAGGTCCTGATAGAGTTGTCATTTGCTCCAAATTGAGTTCATAACACTCAAACATGACAAGTCTTGCATTTTACTGTACAATTTGTGATCTAATGTTTACATAATCTAATTCCTGATGAAAAAGGTCTATCTTTAATAGAAACATATATACTCTTGTTAGGTTCTAATTGACCTATATTCCAAGGACCGAGGAACTGCACAACCAGCAGTTGCAAAAGCAGTCCAATCCCAAACAGGTTTTGCTGCCTGTTGATCATGATCCAATGCGATCTGGTGTTAATTCCCCAGTGAAAGCCACCCAGTCAGTCCAGCGATTCCTGAAAACCACAAGGTTTACATGAACAAGCTCTGCTCCAGAGGAGAACCCAGGAACTAGACCGGTAATAACAGACCTCTGGAAAAAAAAAGAAAAGTTTTGACCAAAAGAGAGGGTTAGGAACGGAGACTCACCCCATTCACCCTGCCGTTTTCCTTTCCTGTAAATTTTTGGAGAATGCTGAACAGGCTTCATGTGCAGCAATGTAGTATTAATCACGCCCTACATTTTGGATGCCCGGGGTCATGTAGCCTGCTGTCTATTTATCCTACAGGTCATTTGCTACATTAGGCCTAGTTTCAGGGCCAACAGAGGAAGCGGGGAGTGAAATTTAAGATGAAGGAGCTAAATTGGTAGCAAATGTAAAGCTTCCAATCTGCCCCTTGGCCCCAATGCACTTCTCAAGCACTGTGCTCACCGTACTGCGGGACACGCCAACTGATTGCCTCTGAAATAATATTCAACAGTGCTTACTGACGCTAAACCGGCGCCATCTCTCAGCTCGGGTTATTCCCACTAAGTTGCTGCATCAGTAATTTTGAAATTTTTTCTTCAAAGATTCCGTTTTAATGGGGATCAGACAGTGAGAATAGACTAAAACTTCTGGGTTTTTTGTTTTACTTATGTTATTTCTTATGAAGCAATAGAAAAAAAAAAATAAAAAATCATATCTATAAAACCTTAAAAGAATGTAAGAAACAAATTGAAAACATGTCTATCGATAATGAAAAACCATTTACCAATATTATATTTACTCAGGTCACCCATTTTTGAAGAACATATTTCCTTAACGGTATAGAGTGGTGCCTCAAAGATGTTTTTTGTTGAGGATATGCTGCCATTCTGCTGAGTTTGACCATCTCATTTCCATTTAAATGACTCAATGGAGTCCCATTTGCTCTCTACTTTCCTGCAGCCAAACAGGCTCAATAAAAGCCAATGAGCTGATGCAAACAGGAAAACCTAGTTGCTTTCTTATACAAACAGCATATGGTTTGCTCAGTGTGGCTGCACATGGTAGCCTTCCTTCAACTTCATTTCATTGTCTGCATCAAGTTTGTCCTCTGGCCATCTGCTCTGCTAAAGTTGCATCTAACTTTCTTTTGCTGCTAAGTTTCTTTCTGTTGTTACAGGGACAACTTCTTTCATCATTAATCTGCAATATTCCTCCAGAAATTATTTTTAAGAGTAAATATCAAGTCTTCTTCTATGGATAATAAATTGCTAATCTTTTTTAAGGGCTAAAGTTATTTTTGTTTCAATTTCTACAGTTTGTCTCATGAAAAGGAGTTTTTTTTTTTTTTTTTAAGTTTAAGGCTATTGTCATAGCAACCAACCTCTGAGCAAAATATGACATGTAGTGATATAAAATGTGCTAACTTAATGCAATATTTATTCATCAGTCTCCATTGTTCTAAATAAATCTGACTGAAGGAGTCTATTTGAACTATTGAAAGACGAAATAGGGACTTCAGATTGTACCAAGAAATAACAAAAACTAGCAACTAATAATAACGTCCTTGGATTTATATTTTGGTAATTACCAATTAGTTTTAAGATGTAATTAACAGCAAAAATGAAAGAATCTAAATATCAACAGTATCAAAGAAAAAAAGGCAAATTACTTATCAGGTGATCAGCTCTATCTTGATTGGTGGGCAGTTTTATCCCTTTAAAGCCTGATCCAAGAATAAAACAAAACAGAAAATTACTTTTTTTGATTTGAATTCCTCATTCGTCCTTTTAACAAAATATGTAAAAAGAAAAACAGAAATACATTTTTGATATTAATAATTTATTACTATGCGATAAGTCAAGATTATTTTTTGTGTAGTCTTCTACTGGCTGTTATCAGGTATATCTGATTGTGTACAATAGGATTTTGAGCAAAGTTTTTACCATTAAATTATGCAAAAGGTGTCAGATGCAAAACATTTCAGAAACCGTATGTATAAAATACGATACATTTGGCATTGTAGGGTTAATCAAGTGTAGTGGGAGGGATACCCACTGTTTTTCCTTAATCACCTTCCTCAGAGCTCAGAAAGTCCTCTTGGTTTTAAAAAAATATCAAATACTAGCCAAGATAAGTCTCATGAATGTGGATCTTTCTAAAAATGCATTCACAGCCTCACACATTAAGAACAAATATTGATTTTTTTTTTATTGTTTTTTTTATGTATATGGAGATCTATTAACTGGATAATATTATAACTTTATTAAAATGTTTGATGTGGGAATAAATACATCTGAAGTAAAAAAAAAAAAAAACAGTCAAAGTGGTCTGTAAAAAGTAGGGCTTTTAAAAGGTATAGTACCAAGTGTGGGATAGGGAGGACTATGCATATTGCATATTACAGTCTGCTTGTCAGTCTTCAATATGAAAGCCTAACAGCTCTGATGAAGCTAGGCTTCCTTTGACAGCGCACAGCCTTTTCTCTGTGGTTTACAAAAGACCATGGAGGTAAAGTAAGGAACAGTAGATTAAGTGTACAGCCTTTGCCAGCTCAAAAGTAAATGTGTGTCAAGATAAAGTTTTGCAAACAACAGACCAGCCTGTCAGCCAGACAGCCTATTACTGTTGCACTCTAAACGTAATTGTTGGAAATGAAACAACCCTTTGTTGAAACACAAAATGTTTTACTTTCCCATTTCTTATACTTTTTGATTATCTAAAAAAATCAGAACTAATTCATGTCACACGTTGGACGTGGCTGAGCTAGTTTAATAAAGGAAAGAGGAATTTCACTTTATCTTCGTTTAGACATTTCCTGTGTTATTTAGATCTATGGTTGCTGCGCTTCATCCTCCCCAATCAGTTAGTGAAGGTGTTAACTTCATTAAACGTCATTTGGTAGGCAGGCCTCAGGCTCACAAAGTCCATTCATCCTCTCAGACTGTGCGTAAAGTTCATGAATCAGATCTCCCTCTTATTATGTTTTACAGAGTCTTTGTATTCATTAAAATCCTTCTAAATATTTGTTGTACAAAGATAGATGTTTGACACAGAGGCCTCTTCCATTATGGAGTAAAGCCAAAGCACTACTGCCGCCCATTCATGATTGCTTGGCCAATTGATCAAGAGTCAGGAAGTTTAAAACCTCTCGTATAGATCTGTTTGATTTCTTCCATCCCACATGAATAGATGATGGCAGTAATCTCAGATGATGGAGTGTGGTGTCTTACCGTTCACATCTCTACCACCAGGGGGCCTAAGAATAATTAAAAAAACTATACAGTATGAGCCATTTCAAAATTTTATTGATAACCATTATCCAGTTGGTTTTGTATTTTAACATTATTTGACTAGAGATAACAGTATTTCTAGATGTGTGTGTTCTTTTAAGCTATTTTCGAGATAATGTGATGGTAGACCGACCATCACTATTCTATTATACATGTACAGTGTTGCTATAGGCGTCCTGTTGGGTTTATTTACACTGTCTCCTAAAGTTAGACAGAACTGGCTTGATGGATTCCTAAAGAAAATAAATTGGAACAACTAACAAGATTTTTGGGATCATCCCTGAGCTTTCTGTGTCATTGCAGATCTGCACTAACCATAAAAAGTATTTTGCTGCCCTCTCTTGATTTTTGTCTGTACTACACATGCATGTAATATGATATTTAAAACAGACTTTTTAAAGAAAATGTGTATTTTTAATAAGAAGGAATGAGACAGTAAAAAAAAAAGGATAAATTCTGTAAGAACTAATGAGTAAAATTGATCAGGTCTGTGGAATAAATAAATCCTCACAGGACTAGAGACCAGATGGGCACCATTAGTGGAAAAAATATATATCCTGCTGAAGACTGTTGAGCTTACACCAACACCAGTCCTTTTTATACAGCTTTTGCACAAACCAAATTTGTTTACTGTTATATGCCTTCATAATTGAACTACAAAGAAACATGACAGCAAAAATCCAGTTACTTTAGAGTCCAGAAGTTTGGTTCATATTTGACCTTTTACTATAAAACATACGGTAATAATAGAAATACATCTGCATCATTATTATGATGGAATGTTTCTCTTGCTCTGAATAACAGTTTCCACTGATACACAAATGATATTGTACACCAGCTTTAAATAAAGATTATTGCAATGCGCATAAATAATGATGAAGCAGTTTATAAACTGATCACAGTATGTTGTCTAAACTAGTTAAGAAAGCAGAAAAACAACTGATGGTGGCGCCATATTTACAGACCTAGAGGTGTGTAGACACAGGTTAAAAAAAGCAAACAAAGAATCTTTAAAAAAAAAAAAAAAAAAAAAACTGGTGGCCGTAATCTGCTCTATAAATACCTCAGACGTGAGGCTTTACGGATAGGCGGCTCAGTCACTTTCTGAAGAGTCACTAGATGACGAAGAGGATGATGATTTATGTTTCTTCTTTCTCTCTTTCTTCTTGTGATGTTTTCCGTGCTCCTTTTTGTTCTTTTTGCTTTTCTTCTTGTGACTTTGTTTCTTTTTCTTTTTCCTGTTCTCGTCGTCTGATGAGGAGCGTGATCTGCTGCGTTTCTTTCTCTTTTTTGGTTCTTCATCGCTTGATGATAAGGATCTAGGTAAAGATGAAAGAACACAGATGTAGCACATTCTTTCCGTTCTATTGATTTTTCCTAATATCAAATTAAGAACATTTGCTCTTTGTGACTGTAATGTTTTAATGAGACAATGTTTAGTGGGGAGTGGCAGCCTATTACTTAGGGCATAGAGCTTGGAATCCTAAAGTTCTGTAACCTGACTCCGCCAGAGGGATTTGCTCCGCATATCCATCTGGAAACCTTCCGTTGAAGTAGTTTTGGGAAGGGGAGAAAATACTGGTTAGCTGATTGGCCTATGTTGGTGATAGACGGGCCAAATAAACCAATCAGATCAACGAAGCATATGACGTACTAACAGAGCGACGACGAAGAGGAGCCAATTGATAGATCAAACTCTTGCCGAAACCAGTTGGGAGAACATCTTTCGGGAGAAGCCTCCAGAGCAGTGTTTTGCTCTTCTTTCAGTGAAGAAATACCCTGTAATTCCGATAAAACTTGCTCAATAGTCACGCTAACACTAGTTTAATCGGCTGAAGCCGCCATGTTCTTTAGACTGAACTGTTGCGCTTCTCTTTGCGTCACACCTCAACCCGCCTCAAAGCCAACACTGTTTGCATATACGTTTGGTGAACGGCTCCAAATTTTCTTTAACGGAGAGTCTCCAGACTGATCTGCAAGTGAAACCTTGAAAGCTCGCGAAACCAGGATGGTCTCATGAGGCTAAAAGTTCTGAGCCCTACTCCCACAAACTGTCACTCTGGGTCCTTGACCAAGACCTTTAACCCCACACTGCTCCCTAGGCGACCCATGATGGCAGCCCACTGATCCCCATGGGGATGGGTTAAATGCAGAAATAAAATTCTCTAATGTGAGATTAATAAAGTTCAATTATTATTATTATTTCTTACCTTTTTCTTGGTTTTCTATCCTTGCTCTTCTTTCTTTTCTGTCTTTTTTTGTTTTCATCTTCGTCATGAGAATCTGAAAAATTTAAATTGTGGAGAAAAACTGAGAGCTCTGTGAAGACATGCCCATACACCAAATGTAATCTACATTGGGATGCCGTAGCCTCTGCCTTCTGACATGCCACCAGCAGTTTGCACGGCAGGCAATAATATCTACTTCTGTCGCTTCACCGCCTCATATTTTTTTACTGCTACTTTCCAATTTGACCTCAGCAAGGCAGTCCTGAAGCGGGTCTACGTGGAGTTTGTGAGTCCACCAGATCCTCCAGAGATGCTCCCACTTAGGGGAAGATCCCTTGAACAACACAGGTAAGGTGAGACAGCTTTTTGGATCCCAGAATGGATCAGCGGGACATCAAAACAAGAACCCTGGCTGGTATGCACCGGATTGGAGCAGAAGCAGCCGTCTATGTCCCCTTCTGCAGCTAAGTGAGGAGGACAGTGAGGAGTCAGAGCATGATGCTGGATAGAGACAATGCCTCAGCCTGGCAGAGGCAGTGGGGGGCCAGCTCTGGAGCTACTAATGATGAATGATTTAAAGGGGTCATTGAATGATTATATATGGGGTATTTGGTCCTCAAGGTCTCTAAATAGGGTGTGTAACATTAGTTTGGCTGCAAATGGCATATTTGCTGTTCTATGAGACCTAATGCAAGCCTGGTTAAAAGCCCTATAATAAAACAACAGATTTTTCTTCCTTTTATTGTATGCTAATGAATATTTAGATGAGCTGTGCGCCGATTGGTTGGTTTACAACGAATGAAGCTGCTGAGCAAAGACGCATCATAGCAACAAGCACTCACTCACTGAAACATCAAATGTTTGATATGGTAGGGTGACCAGACCTCCTCTTTTTCCTAGACATGTCCTACTTTTCATACCTAAAAAAATTGTCCTGGGTTTTAGTCGACTACATTGCAGCAGTAGCCTGCTTTGTAATCCTGGAAAATCCAAGGAACAGGTCTACCTGGACTGGGTCCTTCAACTAATCCTGCTTTGAACTGTCCAAGATTTTGGAAGCTGTCGTTGGTAAAATGCTTAGAGTAAATGAATCTATGCAAGTACTTTATGTTAGTTATTGAGAAGGAATCCTACCTTTATGACGCTGAACATTCCGTCCCAATTTCTCGTTGTGTTGAGAGGAAGGAATGTCATCTTCACTCTCCTCAGTGCTGGTGCTGCTAACATCCAAGACGATGTCTTTCTGAGGATCAACCCGGACAAAATTTCTGCACTCGAAGGTTAAATGGCCCGCTGCGAGACAAATAGAGAGACAGCATTGATGTAAATCAGGCACTAGCTTCAGAACACCCAACTTTACAGCCCCCAAATTGCAAGTAAAAAAATCTCCCGAAAAACAGTTTTCCATTTGTTCTGCTTCAGGGATCTGAGTAATTACTAGGGGTGTAAATAATAATCGTTTTGTATCAATGCATCGATCCAACAGCCGACGATCCGATGCATTGACAGGTCCGCAAGAGTATCGTTACATGTTTTTTTTCCTCCGGTCTATTTTTATCCATTTTGCTCCTGGGCGTGATTCTCACTCCCCTGCTGCGGTGGCGCTAAAACAATTTTTCCCTCCTACCGCGCTTCCTGGTGATACTCTTACAGCAGTGTGTTGCAGTAAGCTTGACACAGACATTTTCAATTTATGTCCAATATTGAAGCGTGGTCTGTGCTACACGCTTTGGGTCTAGATATGGTCGAGGCGGAGAGGAAGTGGGGGCGAGTTTAGTCCTACAAAGGAGGGACATGAGGGCCAAAAAGAGCAGGGATCCAGGTGGAAAAAGGGTCCCAGCGTTCTTGCGCACCTCGATTTTCTAGCTGGTCAAACTTCACGAGTATTTTTTCGCAATTTCGGTCATAAAAACAAAACAAGCCGGCCTCCTGTCTGCGGAGGGTGCGGGGACGTCTGGAGCCGAGGTATTAAATTGCACTCATTGGACTGATATTGTGCAGTATTTTTTGATGCAAAGCCTTTCAGAATCTATAACGCAGGAGAAATATTATTTTTCAGTGAATGAGGTTTTAATAGGAATAGGTGGAGTGCAACTTTTCTACTTCTGTTATTTGTGGTTGTTTCTCAAATAAAATGCATAACAATATTACAGCTTTCATTGATTTATTTCAAATTTTAAACATTGTCCAGCCTGTAAGGTAAAAAAAAAAAAAAATGAACCAATTAATCGAATCGTATCGTGGTGTATTCTTGAGTATCAAAAATAATCGAATCGTTAGGTCAGGAAATCGATACTGAATCGAATGGCCATGATGGGTTTGGATTTTTGGAAATTGTAATTTCTGCATATCATAGGAAGCTATTGTTATATACTGAAATCAAAATGCTTAATGACAGATAAATCTATCATAAAATGTGCTGATTGGTGTTAGAATAGAAACTAAAAACTACAATAAAACAAAGGAAAGAAAAAAAAAAATTCATGCACTAGCCAGTATTGTTTTGTTTTTATCTTAACATTCAAGGTTAATAATGATGTTTGTAGTAATAATCATTAAAACCAAAACTGAAAGCATTAGTAAGCTTTAAAACAACTGATTCCTGACTTATAAATACAGAATCTCTCACCTCATCTCCATGAGCATAGATTGCAACTAAATGCCTCAACAGTAGAAAAGAAGAAGCCTAACTTGATTTAATAAATTTTAAAAAAATGTACATTCCATATCAGGAAAAAAAAAAACCGCAATACCCTGGTGATAAATTGGCAAACTGGGCTCAGATGATTATTTATAAAAATATCTGCAGGGAGCAAATATGTGTGCGAAATATTTTTTCTGAACATGAGTGGCAGTAATGAATAAACAAAACCTGCATATTTTCTCTGTAATATATAGTTTCATAATAAATTGAATAAATTGAAACAATGTTAGCGACTTCTGTGTTTGCGACACAGAAGCTTTACTTACGGTATCCGCATTTTTTACACCCAGCTCTGATGTTGTCCTTATTGGGCCCTGTAAAAAAAGGTAGTGGTTGAAATATAAAATAAGTCTACAAACAGTTACTTTTAGTAATAAAGATATTTGTTTCTTGACCTTCTACCGTTTTGGAGTAGTATAACTATGAAGAAAACATTTCTTTGTTTTTCTATAAGTTAACTGCTCAAAGCTAAAAAAAAATATATTAGTTGTTAATGCATAATATCGAAATGAATGGTAAATATCAGCGCACAAAAACTAGTACAAAAAGTATCCTGTCAACACTACATTACGGAGTTTGATTCATGTGAATACGGAGGTATCGAAAGGTTAGAGATACTTTTAATGTCTTTGCTTTATAACTTTACTATATCACTAATAATAAAGCAAAAATAAAGTACATACCGGGAAGAGCCATTGTTATCTGCGATAATCAAACGTTAGTTTTGTTGTTTTAGCGCGAGGCAAACTGAGCCGTCCGAGGGAAAAATATGATCGACTGGAAACATTCTAGAAACTACTGTGTTCCTCTGTCTTCTTCTTCGTGTTTTGTCTTGTTGCTTTTAATGGCGGTTGGCAAACAACTTTCTTTGGTGCATTACCGCCACGAACTGGTGAGGAGCGTGGATCAGAATGGCCCTATTCATAAAGATACTTATATTTATGCATCTATATATTTATAATAGTAGTACAATAGTATACTATGCTATACTATAATAGTATATAATAATAGTTTTATGATAGATTTACCTTTCATTAAGCATTTTGATTTCAATAATATAATAGCAATTTATTTACAAATATTAAATCCGTCTTATTATTCCTGTTATTATTAAATATTTAAATAAATATTTATTTATTTATTTTTTTTACTTTTTTTCTGCAGAATATCTATCAAATCAAATTTTACTTTCTCCTTATTTAGGTCTTTTACCAAATTGCTTCTTTCTTATTCATACTTCGTGTTTTCTTCTATATTGGTAACTAAAAACATGCATACCGCCACCCTCTGGTTCCTATTCATGATGTCATGGCTTACCTTCTAAACAAACAAACAAAATAAATAAAAGCAGTGTACTTTGTAATCAAGCATTTCTTGAATTTAATAATCTAGATTTTTTTTTTAATAACGAAGGTAAAAAATAAAAACCTCCTCTTTAGGCCTTTTTAGTTTCTTTATGTTTCTTTTTAAATAATACGTCTCAATATTAGACAGTAGACTTTTAAATATCCCATGATCAGATTATATTTTTAATTTGTGATGCATCCCAGTCTTTAGCAGTGGGTGTTTTTAATTGTTGAAATTTGATCATAGTTCTTCCTTTAATGCTATGATTTGCTGTTAAAAAAGGAAAAAGAGCTTATTAGCGCTGTCATCAAAGTTGGGATTGTTGTTTATTACATAGTGCGTCATTATTACAATTATATTTTAATATTATTATTTCAAATAATAAAATATTTAATTTTAATGATGGAAAAAAGCAATTATAAATTTTTACTACTATATAGCATAACCAAACCAAGACATGTCTAGTTAGATTCTAAAATAACAGTTTTAACTGATGAGATTTTAGGATTTTTTTGTGACTCATTTTAGCATCGCTCTGAAGGCGATACTAAACTCAATAGTTTCTTTCAGCTATCAGTTATGTATCTTTGCAAGATAAAGTGCATTGTAATGGTGAAAGTGAAGAAATAGACAATCCTACTGTAGAACCTCAACTGCCTAAGAAATACAACATAACCATAACATTTTCTGCTCAAACCTAACCATGAAAATGTTTATAATTTATACATAACCTGTCTCTCTATTTCCTCCAAGCAGCTCGGGTCTGGAAGCTTCAGGGTTCTGCGCAGTGTCTTTGCTGTTCCTAGAACTACACTTTTTTGGAATGAGATGTCTGTCCAGGAATCTGCTCTAACCACACTTCCAGTTTGGGGGTCACTGCCCCTAGTGCCCCAATGACCACGCCACCACTGATGCCTTGACCTTCCAGGTTTTCTCCAGCTCTTCTCTGAGCCGCTGGTATTTCTCTAGTTTCTCATGTTCCTTTTTCCTAATGTTGCAGTCACTTGGTATTGCTTTGTCAACCACAACGGCTTGTCTCCACTCTTTGTCCACCACCACAATGTCCGGTTGGTTTGTCATTACCATTCTGTCCGTCTGTATCTGGAAGTCCCAAAGGATCTTGGATCGATCATTCTCTACCAGCTTTGGAGGCGTTTCCTACTATGACCTTTAGGGTTTTCCACCCCATATTCTGCACAGATGTTCCTGTATACTATTCCAGCGACTTGGTTATGACGCTCTATGCAGGCTTTCCCTGCTAGCATCTTACACCCTGGAGTTAGTTTGTGCTGGATTGTCTTAACAGCGGCCACTTTGCACAGTCTACACCTGGGGTCTTTTCTGGTGTTGGAGATCTGGGCCTCTATTGCTCTCGTGTACAGGGCCTGCTCCTGTGCAGCCATGATGAGTGCCTCTGTGCTGTCCTTCAGTCCAGCTCTTTACTCTATCTTCATCTTGCCTAAAGTTAATTAATCTACATTTGGATGAGGCAACAACCCTGCTGGTCACACACAGGGATTTGGAGAAAGGGCTTCGTCACCACCAAATGAACAGATCTAACAGTGATCTACAGCTGGGTTAATTGCCTGTATTTATTAAAAAAAAGAAACTATTTTAAAAAGTTTCAAACTGCAGGCAATGTCAACAAACAATGTAGGTCAAAGTGCAGAGTTAATGCCTGAATAATTAATGCCTCCAGGAGCTGCACACCTCCAGGACTCTGAGGCTTGCAGGGAAGATGGTGGCTGATCCCTCGCACCCCAGTCACAAACTATTTCAGTCACTACCCTCTGGCAGGAGGCTGCGGTCCATCAGGACCAGAACCTCCCGTCACAAAAACAGTTTTTTCCCATCTGCTATCGGCCTTATCAACAAGGCCAAGACCCGCCCGTGACACTGAACAATGTTTCTCTCCCCCATTAAGGATTTCTGCGTTACATTAACGCACAGTCTACTGTTTGTATATAGCTTCTGTGTGTATATATATATATATATATATATATATATATATATATATATATATATATATATATATATATATATATATATATATATATATATATATATATATATATATATATATATATATATATATATATATATATTCTATCTTATTTTGCTATTTTCTTTTGTTTTGTTTTGTTTTTTGTCTGCAACAACAACACCAAGTCAAATTCCTTGTAAGTGCAAACCTACTTGGCAATAAACTTGATTCTGATTCTGATTCTGAACCTGATGAACTTTTCAAGATGACAGAGGGGCAGAGATCAACATCAGGACTGAGTACCACGTATGTCAAAATTAGATAAATAATATTTTATTTATTAAGCCCAATTTCTATAAACATGAATGTTTTGCCAATAGCTGCACCTTTTCTTAAGTTGATTCCCAAGCAGAGTTCAGTTGTGGTATTTTTCAGGGGTTAATCGACGACAGCCAGTGTAGATGGAAAATGCTGACAGATGTGTGGCCCCTAGACATGCTCTCCTTATTATGCTTGTGGCTGTGAACAACATTTACAGAGGCACGCACACACAATCCAGATCTTGAGTTTCTGATAGGCACATGTCTTTGCTAAATCTCAAACAAATAATTAATTTCATCTGTAAGACAAATGGAGACTGTTACTCTGCATAAATCACATGACTCTTAAGCTGCCTCTTAGCTCTTCAGATTAGCTGAGTCAAAGAACTTTGATCCATTACACGTCATCTTATCACATGCTCATAATTACATACTCATAAAAATCAACATCTCTGTTTTTAATAATAGTTTCCATTCAAATACTAGGAAGAAAATACAATTCCTTTCAACTTATCAGTAGCTCTGTTTTCAATCCAAAGTCCTTTCTTATCCTAAGGCTTATAGATGCAACATATTAATGTAACATAAATTGTTTCAATTACGTGTTTGGGCTTATTGATTATATTCACATTAAACTTTGGATCATTATACTTTAAGGTAGGGTGTAGTTCATACCAGGAATTTGTACCAGCATTACTGTGGTTTTAATCTCTCATTTTTATTCTCTTATTCTTCAAATAGAGAATAAAGAAGCCGAGACACAGTTCAAAAGTCCATGTTTTAGCTTTGCTGGTTTACTGTCTCAGATGAGAGATTAAAACATCAATCATTAGAAATACACACATCTGCTGCGTTGATAACGTCTTCAGGACATTTGCTCTTTAGTACTGGAAAGATTAAATGATATTTTACAAGAAACAAGAAATTATTCTGAAAATTCAGTGTGACCATTAAACATAGTTCTGATAGTCAAAGAAAATAAACAAAGAGTAGGATGAATGGAACAACATGATGGGGATTAAATTTTAAAAATGAAAAATAACTCAGTAACTTGCCTATAACAGTACATTTGAGTAAATAATTATTTAGGGGTTACATGTAGATTATAGTAAACCAGAGGTTTGTGTTAAATAATAATACCAAGTATTTCTTTTTATATGAAAAGCAGACCATAATATATATAATATTTAGGCATTTGAAGAAAAGTACAGGGACTAAACCAGTAGGTGACAGTGTTGACAAGTTGGTGGTAGAAACATGTTATTTCAACTTCTGCCTTTGTCCATTGTTTTCTGTGTCCAAGCTTACTGTAGATAAAAAAAAAACTTGTTTGAAAAATATTAATATAATATTTCACTTTATTAAGGCAAACTCGTCTTATTTAAATATATTGATCCAGTTTAATGTAAAATTCTTTAAAGACAATTTTGGCTTCTGAACAGCTTGTAGCACATTTAATTAGAATCCAATTTATAATATGGTACAACAAACTTCTACTAAGGTATTTCAGCCCCCCTGGTTGACCCCCCTCCATTTTCTTATTATTCAAACAAGTCTGCAGGTGATCCAGTCAACCTAGAATCACACTTCTCTCTGCACAACCTAAACCCCCCCGGGACATACAGGTGCTGGTCATAAAATTAGAATATCATGAAAAAGTAGATTGATTTCAGTAATTCCATTTAAAAAGTGAAACTTGTATATTATATTCATACATTACATACAAACTCATATATTTCAGATGTTTATTTTGTTTAATTTTGATGATTACAAATGACAACAAATGAAAATCTCAAATTCATCATATCAGAAAATTAGAATATTGTGAAAAGGTTCAAAATTGATGGCCCCTGGTGCCACACTCTAATCAGCTAATTAACTCAAACCACCTGCAAAAGCCTTTAAATGGTCTTTCAGTCTAGTTCTATAGGCTACACAATCATGGGGAAGACTGCTGACTTGACAGTTGTCCAAAAGACGACCATCGACACCTTGCACAAGGAGGGCAAGACACAAAAGGTCATCGCTAAAGAGGCTGGCTGTTCACAGAGCTCAGTGTCCAAGCACATTAATAGAGAGGCGAAGGGAAGGAAAAGATGTGGTCGAAAAAAGTGTACAAGCAAGAGAGATAACCGCACCCTGGAGAGGATTGTGAAACAAAACCCATTCAAAAAT